TGGTCTTTGGACTAGACCTGACATCATCCTTTCCTTTTCTTAGAGGACAACAGATATTTATAGCCAGGTTGCTCCATCATCTTATTTCCTGCTGGTAGAATTCCAGGAATCAAATAGCTTTTCTTCATTCTGTGCTAACTATATTCCGTTTAGTCTAAACAGGAGCGTTTCTGATGAGATGATTGATTGGATCCATAGATCACATTTCTGATCTCTTTAGAAAATTGTTATCTAGCCACACCCTTGGTGTCCTCTCCAGAGCATGCATTTTAATAAATTTTGCAGTAGAATTTTCCAAATCTTCAAATTCTGGTTTCTTTTTGCACAGTTCATTTTTCAATCTCTCTTTCCTCCCACATTTTACTATAAGCAGCAGGGAGAAACCATGCCGTAACTTAAAGATTTTGCTTAGAAATATTCTCAGCTAAATATCCAAGTTCATCACTTACAAGTTCTACTTTCCATAAAACATTTGAACATAATTCAGCCAAATTCTTTGTCACTTTATAACAAGGATCACCTTTCCTCCAATGTTCAATAACGTATTCATCATTTCCTTTGAAAACCTCCCCAAAGTACGTTTAACATCCACATTTCTATCAATATTCTGTTCATGACAGTAGAAGCTTTCCCCACAGCTCCCCACAATTCTTTCCAAGCCCTCATCAGAATCACCCCTAATGTCTGTAATTCTACCAACAATCTCTTCAAGGCAATCTATGCTCTTACTATCAAGCACCTCAAAACTCTTCCAATCTTCACCCATTACAAATTCCAAAGCCATTTCTACATTTTTAGGTATTTGTTAGAGCAGCACCCCCCAGTCTCTGGTACCAAATTCTTCGTTTAGTAGAGCTGCCATAACAAATTACCACGAAGTGGGTGGCTTTAAAGAACAGAAATTTATTTTCTCACAGTTTGGGAGACTAGAAGTCCAAACCAGGGAATTGGAAGAGCTATGTTCTCTCTTTGTCAGCTCAAAGGGAAGATCCTTCCTGTCTCTTTGAGTTTCTGGCAGCCCCAGGTATTTCTTGATGTTTTGGCTCATAGATGGATCCTCACATGCTGTCTTCCTCCCATGTGCAACTCTCCTTCCATGCCTGTCCTTCTCTTTTATAAAACACCACTCAGAAGGGATTAGGATTAGGACCAACCCTGCTGTGGTATGACTTCATTAATTTAATGATAACATCTGCAATGAAAAACCCATATATCCCCAAAGGTCACATTCACCAGTGTGGGGGTTAGGATTTCAACATATCTTTTTAGGGGACACAGTTCAATCCAGAACAGGCTTATTCTGTTTTCTTTATCTAACTCCTTGTGTTGGAAGTTTAATTCCATTGTCTTTTCTTTTTTTCTAATATATTCACTTATCGTTCTTGTGTGCCATTGAGTCAATTCTGACTCGTAGAGACCCTATGGGATAGAGTAGAACTGCACCGTAGGGTTTCCAAGGCTGTAATCTTTACAAGAGCAGATCACCAGGTCTTTTATCCATGGAGTATCTGGTGGGTTCAAACTACTGACCTTTCTGTTAGCAGACAAGCTCTTAACCATTGCACCACCAGGGCTTTTATACATTCACTTAAGGTTATACTTTCTCAGTGCTAGTTTACCTGCATCCCACAAGTTTGATATGCTGTAATTTCCTCAGCATTTAGGTTTAAGTATTTTTAAATTCTATTTTGATTTTTCCTTTGACGTAGGAGTTACTTAGAAATGTGGATTTTTAAATTTCTAAGTGTAAGTGGCTTTTCATTTATATGTTTGCTGCTCACTCTGACTTAATTGCATTGTGATCAGAGAAAGTAGTCCATATGTGGTATGGATTTTTAAAAATTTGTTGATAGATGCATTACAGCCTAGTGTATAGTCAATTTTTATTAAATATTTCATGTGTTTTAAAAAGAATATCTATTCTCTAATTGTTGTGTAAAGAGTTTTTACATGTCAGTTAAATCAAGCTTGTTAATTTTGTTTTTCAAGTTTTCTGTATCTTTCCTAATATTTTGTCTGTTTAAACCATCAATTGAGAGAAACGTGTTGAAATTAGCTACTATTATAATAGTGTATTTGTTTCTTCCTGTGAGTCCACCAGTTTTTGCTTTGTATATTTTGAAGCTATTTTATTGATTCTGTGTAAGTTTAAAATTGTGGTCTTTTTCTGGTGATTTGAGCCTGTTTTCATTATTTAGTGAGCTGCTTTATTCCTAATGTTTTCTTTTGTTTGGTATAAATATAGCTACCTTACCTTTCTTTATGTATTAGGTTGGCATGTATTTTTCTGTCCTTTTATTTTTCAACCATCCCATATCCTTTTGTTTTAGGTGGTTTTTTTTTTTCTTTTTTTTTTAATGTAGGTGGATTTTCTCCCTCCCTCCGTAGCCTGACAGTCTCTTGTCTTTTTTAACTGTCAAGCATAGTCTATTTATATGTATTGTGGTTATTAATCAATTTGAACTTATTTCTACCGTCTTAATTTTTCTTTTTGTTTCATTTTTTGCTATGCTTCCTTTTTGTTTTTTAACTTTTTCTATTCATTGAAAATGTTTGTTAACCTTTTTTATTTCACCTTTTTCTCTACTGGTTTATGATTTGTACTCTCTAGTTCTATTCTTATCATGGGTACCCTTGAAATTTTGGCAGATAGATTTAAGTTTTTAAAGTCTAAAATTAAACAGTAACTCAACTCCCTTGCTGAAAAATATAGGGACCTTAGAGTACTTTAAGCTCAGTCATTCCCTTCCAACTTGTATACTTTTGTTTTAAGCTATTTTGGTTCTTTTTATTTTATTCCACAGACTATCTTCATTAACATTATTATTAGTAAAGTTAGTATTATTAATTTATTCAGATAAAATTTGTTAATATTTACATACATTTAAATTTGCTTCATTTTACATACAGGTAAATTTTATCTGGAGCCCTGGTGGCATAGTGGTTAAGAGTTTGGCTGCTAATCAAAAGGTCAGCAGTTCAAATCCACCAGCCACTCCTTGGAAACTCTATGGGGCAGTTCTACTCTGTTCTATAGGGTCACTATGAGTCCGAATCAACTCAACGGCAATGTTTTGTTTTTTTTTAAATTTGCTTTCTTAGACTATTAATCTAGGATTATTTTTCTTCTTTCTGAAGTTCATGATTTAGATTCAAAGTTCCTTTAATGAAGGTCTTTGGTGGTAGACTGCCTCAGGTTTTTAAAAAAATCTTTCTAGTATGCCTTCATTCTTGAAAGATAGTTTTACTGGATACACAGTTCTAAGTTGATGACTGTTTTCTCTCTGTTCTTTGATGGTATCATCCCACTGTCTTCTGGCTTCCGTGTTACTGTTGAGACTTTTCCTGTTAGTCTAATTGTCATTTCTTTGTAAATGATATGTGTGCAGGAAAGAGTTAACTCAGCAGGCCTGGCTTACTCAAATTCTGCACATTCCCAAGGTCTTTAGGACTTGCCCTGTAGCCTGGCTTCTGGGGAGGACTTCTGAGCCCTTGGAGTATCGTGCTTTAGAAGAGTACCAGTGTTAAAGCCTGAGGCCTGGGCCACTCTGTTGCTTAAGCTATCTGTTGAATTTTTTCTCTCAAAAATTTTATTGTTCGTTTGAAGAAGTTCTGGTTGTTTCTTTTTCGTTTCTGTCTTTCATGCTTGATAGTCTTTTGTTGTTGCTCATCCTTTAGTTTTCAATTGTTAATTCTTAAATCATTTTATACATTGCTATTCTACTTTGGCTTGGAAATTCCAATATCTGATATTCTGGGGATTTAAATCCATTGCTTGATATTCCTGTACAGTCACACTTATAGTAACTTGTTTCCTTGTGAGTTTATTTCCTTTATTGTTATTATAAGGAAATTTTAGAATGGGGTGAATTGTATTTCGTCCATCATTTCTGCCTGGAACTATTCTGAACTGAATCTTGAAGGACAACTCTGACACGACTCTGATAATTTATTTATCTTAATTGATAAGAATCCTGTGGGCCTAAATTGGGGTCCTATCCTCCTAGGAGGATTTGTATCTGTTTCTACTACAAAAGATATTGCTAGGGCAAGGTATCAATCTAAGACCACTTTAACCCTTTTTAAGGATTCTAGTTTAGTGCAGGAATCTCAGGTTCAGCATTCCCTTCTTTCTGCTGGCCCATTTATAGTGCCCCTGTCTGAACCATCACTGTGGCCAGGGCATAGAATATGTTGATTGTTTAGGCTGGGTCTTGTGGCTACCCTTTGTGCTCAAAAGTACGTATCATCAGCCCTACCTGATCCATAAGAAAGGGATGCGGGCATAGTCTGGTAGAGTGGATAGATTTGCCCAAGAAAACTCAGAATACTAGTACCAGAACAATAGCAAATGAATGCTGGGCAGAAAAATAGCAGATATCCACCACAGAGGATAATATGAATTTTACAATAGAAGAAGATTTTTTTAATATAAGCTTTATTTAGAATGGGAGAAGTCCTTGATAAACTTATGTCACTACTTCTGAGTTCTAAGAAACTAGACATGTCACTACTGAAAGATTATAGATTTTCTTTATTCCAGGGAAGGTCTACTTGATGGAAAATTGTCAAAATTAACAGCATTGGAAAATCAAGGAACTCTAGTGTTTGACCCAAAATTAAATTTACATTTGTGTTTTAACTCAGTAAATCATACAAACTATCTCTCCCACTTTGGAGTACTTGAATTTCAACTCTACCATTGCTTGCTCTCTGACCGTAAGTAAGTTAATTATCCAACCTCTCTGAACCTAAGTTTTCTCATTCATAAAATGGGGATAATATAATCTGCCTTCCCTGATTCTTGTGAGTATTAAATGAGCAAATATTTTTAAACCAACTAGTTAGTGTCTGGAGTAGAGTAAGCATTTATTAAATGCTTGCTATTATTAATATCTACAAAATATGGACATTGAGACTATTTACTTTGCTTTCGAAATAAAACAACATACAAATATAGCATCTGAGGAACTTACGCTATCTCTGCTTTTATTTTTCAGATTCCTTCAAATACATCAGAAATATGTTGCATTATTAGAGCATCGCCAGGAACTAGACAAGTGAAAATTAAAGGTGTTACTGTAAAAAAGAAGAAATATTCTCCTTGTAAAGGTATTCCTCAAGGTACTGTAGTATAAATGCACAGTCTACTTTTTGAAAGATATAAAACATTTTTTCCTTTATGAACTATTTATATACACTCAAACTTTGGTTATAAAATGTATTCTGAGAGTTCTTGCACAAGGTAGAAATGGTAAAATTATAAAAAGTCTGGTTAGGTTTCAGAACCTGAGTAAATTAATTTTTTGAAAGATAAATATTCATCTTTTGAAAAATTAGCTTATGCTATTGATTTAAAATGGGTGGTCTTGAACAGATACTAACAAAAGCAGATATATATATATATACACACACACACACACACACATTTATCTAGCCAATATATATATATAAAAGTGCTCGCTTTATTAGTCGTGACAAAAATATAAATTAAAACTACAATACAATACCACTGTACATCTACCAGAATGGCTAAAAGGGAAAGATGGAAAATATTAAGTGTTGGTGAGGATGTGGTGCAACTAGAACTCACATACACTGCTGATGGAAGTACAAATTGGCATAACCAATTGAAAAATGTTGGGCAATATATGTTAAAACTGAGCATGCGCCTATCTGAAGACTCAGCAATTCCTCTTCCAGGAGTATACCCAACTGAAATGTGTACATATGTTCATAGCAGCACTGTTTATAATAGACCCAAACTAGAAACTGTCCAAATGTCCATCAATTATAAAATGAATAGATAAATTGTGGTATATTTGTGCATTAGAATACTGGATATCAATGAGAATCAACAATATATAGTTACATTCAACAATATCGATGTATCTCACAAACCTAAGGAGTCAGACACAATAGTGTACATTTAGTATTATTTGTATGTATTATATAACCAGGCAACTATGTATTATTTATATGTAGTACAAAACCAGGCACAAAACTATGATGGAAATCAGAATAGCAGATGCCTTTGCAGGTGTGGGAATATTAATTGGGAGGGGTTATGAGAGGGGCTTCTAGGGTGGTGATAATACTGTGTTTCATTATCTGAGTGTTGATTACATGAGTGTGTTAAGTTTGTGAATACCCATCAAGCTGTATACACATATTTTCTCTGTGTGTATTATACTTCAATAAAAAGTTAAAAAATAAATTGAAAAACTTTTCTTAATTTAATTTTTTTGGCCTGTCATATCTGCATCAGGTATTGTAAAAACTCTGGCCTTGAGTATGCAACAAATTGAACCAAAATGTGTCTGGGAGATTCTTTTGAGTGTGCAGATGTAATTGCAACAAAGACAAAATTTTTACTTTAATTCACAGAGACCCCTTTGATGCATGTTGAACCCATGGTGCTACCTCTTGGCTTCTTCTAGGTTCTCATCATAACAGCAGCCTCTGCATCTAAGTCATTCTCTTTCAACCTCTGGCCACTTGTCTTTGCCTTTCCTTTAATAAAAATAGCAAAGCCCCAGGCTAACTAGTGAGCGTGTTATTTTAAACATGCAGCAGCCTATTTTTAGTTCTGGCATTTACAGTTTTAGCTAGTTTGGCAGTAATCTAATTAGGACTACAGGGTGAAACTTATTTTTGATGGTCTAGGACCCTGTTTAATATGCTGCTTGTTCATAAACAGTTGGTATTATACCAATTAAGGAAAAGAAAATTGGTGAAAATGAACCACTAGGAGACTACAAAAGAGATGTGATGAAGGAAGTATAGTGGGTAAGCAGAGAATGGTGACAGCCAGATAGAAGAGGGCTTAGGGAATGTCTAGTCTAAGGTTTCTCAGTGTGTGGTCCTCTGACCACTTCTAACAGAATCGCTTCAGACCTGGTAAAATTTCAGCCTCTAGAGATATGACACAAGAATCTGCAATTTGATGAGCTCTTACAGTAATTTCAATAAACACTAAAATCTGAGAACCGTATACTGATCTATTTTATAGATAATGAAGATGACCAGGCTAGATTGATAAGTGACTTGTCCGAGGTCACACAGTTAATTGCTGACAGAATCAGAGCTAGAACCCAGATTTTCCTGATTCTAATGGTTTGACCGGGTAGCTGTCAAATAGAGAATAGGCAATAGAGTAGGTAGGACTCTCAGTTTCCCAGCTCACCCAGACAAAGCAGTTCTGCTTCTTTTTGCTTTATACATTGAACATCTGTATTCTATTTTATCTAAACAGAGGCATTTTTTGCAAAGAGGAGGGTTGAATAATCATTGTTCTGTACTTTCTTACAGTTACAGCAGTAGATGAATAATTTATTGGTGTATTAATTCATCCAACAAACATGCATTAGGCACAGCAATATGAGCACAGCCTTAGCCCTTGAGGGGTTTACATCCAGTCATGAGATAGACTTCACAGTCTTTTCTATAAGTTAATAAGCTAGATGTGAATAGGCACTGTAGAGGTGTCAGGGAAGACTTCCAAGCTAATATACCTTTCGGAAAACCAGACAAAAACTGTAGCATTTTTTACAGTAATATTTTAAGGTTTGTTTTATTTTTGAGTTCCAGGAGAGATGATAAATGATGTGTTATAAATTCATATCTCAAACTAATAGGAGAGTAACAGCCTTTAACTAGATACATATATATCTTTAGTAAGAAATCTGAGTCTTTAGATAATAATAACGGCAGAAATATCATACAGAAATATAACAGTTGAAGTGGAAACATCCATTCAAGTATCTGCGAGATGATGGTAGAAAGTACTTAAGAGTAAGATATTCCTGAATTCAAATTCTAGCTCTGTCACATGGGTAAATTCCTGAAATTCTCTTAATTTTATTCTCCTCACTTGTAAAATTCTTTTTCTTTATATTGAGGTATAATCCATACTGAAGGCTGTGGTCTTTGATCTTCATCAGTAAGTGCTTCATGTCCTCTTCACTTTCAGCAAGCAAGGTTGTATCATCTGCATAACGCAGGTTGTTAATGAGTCTTCTTCCAATCCTGATGCCCCGTTCTTCTTCATATAGTCCAGCTTCTCGGATTATTTGCTCAGCATACAAATTGAATAGATATAGTGAAAGGATACAACCCTGACGCATACCTTTCCTCACTTTAAACCACGAAGTATCTCCTTGTTCTGTCTGAACAACTGCCTCTTGATCTATGTACAGGTTCCTCATGAGCACAATTAAGTGCTCTGGAATTTCTGTTCTTCCCAATGTTATCCATAATTTGTTATGACCCACACAGTTAAATGCCTTAGCATAATCAATAAAACACAGGTAAACATCTTTCTGGTATTCTCTGCTTTCAGCCAGGATCCATCTGACATCAGCAATGATATCCCTGGTTCTATGTCCTCTTCTGAATCCAGCCTGAATTTCTGGCAGTTCCCTGTCGATATACTGCTGCAGCCATTTTTGAATGATCTTCAGCAAAATTTTACTTGCATGTGATATTAATGATATTGTTCGACAGCCTTCAGTATGGATTCCACCTCAACGTAAAGAAAACAAAAATTCTCACAACCAGACCAATAAGCAACATCAAGCTAAATGGAGAAAAGATTGAAGTTGTCAAGGATTTCATTTTCCTTGGCTCCATGATCAACACTCATGAAAGCAGCAGTCAAGAAACCAAAAGATGCATTGCATTGGGCAGATCTGCTGCAAAAGACCTCTTTAAACTGTTGAAAAGCAAAGATGTCACCTTGAGGACTAAGGTGCACCTGACTCAAGCCATGGTGTTTTCAATCGCCTCATATGCATGCGAAAGCTGGACAATTAATAAGGAAGACCGAAGAAGAATTGATGCCTTTGAATTGTGGTATTGGCGAAGAATATTGAATATATCGTGGACTGCCAAAAGAACGAACAGGTATGTCTTGGAAGAAGTACAAGCAGAATGCTCCTTAGAAGCAAGGATGGCAAGACTGCATCTTACATACTTTGGACATGTTGTCAGGAGAGATCAGTCCCTGGAGAAGGACATCATGCTTGGTAAAGTTCAGGGTCAGCAAAAAAGAGGAAGACCCTCAACGAGATGGATCGACCTAGCAGCTGCAGCAGTGGGCTCAAGCATAACAGCGATTGTGAGGATGGTGCAGCACCGCGCAGTGTTTCGTTCTGTTGTTCATAGGGTCGCTATGAGTCAGAACCAACTCGATGGTACCTAACAATAACAGCAACACGTGTAAAATTGGCATATTAGTAGCTCTTACCTCAAAGAATTGTTGCAAGGATTAGAGATAATCTGTGTAAAGTACTTGACATGTAATAATCACTCATTATACAATAATTATTATTTGCTTCTCTAGGTTACATCCTCATGTCTAGATCACTATGTTTTCTTTTGGAAACTGTTCCTTGGTTTATTAAATTGCAAAAAGTCTAAAAATATCAAATAGTTATTGTATTTGATGATAAATTTAGTTATACCATCTCACATAATACCCTGTAAAGAATATATGAGATAATTGTGTATAGTCTTTAACACAGACAGGCTAATCTAATACAGCTACAGAGATGAAGTATACCAGTCAGTTTCTTGGGGAAAAAGAAAAACTAATTTGACATCAAAGTTCTGTGTTGGTTAGTTCATTCATTCAGCAAACATTTATTGAATCTGGCTCTCATTTGCTATACATAGTTCGTTGCTGGTGATATTGAGATAAAGACACAGTTGCTGTCCTCAGGAAGTTTATAATCTCATTCAGAAAGTCATATATGTAAGCAAATTCAGTGTAGGTATATGTGTTTTAATGGAGCCATCTATATGTGGTACCCTGTTAGGGCACATGGGAAAGGTGGGAAATCCTTTGGTGGGTTAGCGGAGACCCTCAAAGGCATTCTGGGCATAGGCCTTGTAGGTAGAGAAAAAAAAAAACATTTGCCGTTGAGTCGATTCTAACTCATAGAGACCCTATAGGACAGAGTAGAACTGCCCCATAGGGTTTTCAAGGAGCGGCTGGTGGATTTGAACTGCCGACCTTTTGGTTAGCAGCCAAACGCTTAACCAGGAGGGAACAGCATAAATAAAGGCGCAGAGTCTTAAAGCAGCCTCGCGTAATTGAGAAACTGAAAGTCATGTTCAGCTGGAGTAGAGGTTGGATTCTCTGAAAACTGAGGCTTGAATAGTAATCATGGTTAGATAGGGGGAGAGTCTTATATGTCATGTGGATTTTTGACTTTTTCCTGGTCAGATTTGCTTTTCAATTAGATCATTTTGGCAAGAATTGTGGAGGTGGCTTAGAAAGAAGGCTAGAAGCAGAAAGACCAGGTGAGAGTTTTGAAAAAGTGCTGAGAACAAAGTTGGGAAAATAAAGATCTGAGCCTGTGTATCTCAAATTGTGGTGCTCAGGTCAGTTTAGGAATTTATTAACATAATAATAAAATTCCAAGATCATGGCCTCAGCAGTCTGATTCACAAACTCTAGAGTTTCAGAACAAGTTGAAAACCAGTTATAATTGACTGGGCTTAGTACTGATACAGGGTAGTGATAGAGAAAGGAAAGTTAGAGGATGATTTCTAGGTCTCTATTATTGTCAAGTTTCAGAAATGATGTGTTCTAGGTGATGTCAGGGGAAGATGTAGGGCATGGCTGTGGAAGTGTATGTGAAGGTTGAGAAAGTGAAGGGTAAGTGGGACTAGATAGTTGAGTGGGCTGATTATCCACTTGGGAAGTTCCCAGAAGTTGGGGAATAGAGAAGATGACTGTGAACCAGGTGTCAAAACCATTAATAAATGAAAGGAAAGTGTCTAAGGTTAGTAAAGACAGCAACAAGGAGGAGTAGAGGATAGTATAGGCCAGTGCATCTAAAACTTTAACGTGCTTATGAATTGCTTAAGGATCTTACTAAAATGCAGATTTTTGTTGCAGTAGGTCTGGAATTGGCCCCAAGATTCTACATTCTAACTGGTTCCTAGGTGATGTTGAAGCTACTGGTCCATAGACCACACTTGAAGTAGCAAAGATACAGGTCTTCAATTCTCAACTTTAGCTGCATATTGGTCTTTCCCTAGTATTTGGGTCCCTCGCCCAGAGATTCTGATCTAATTGGTATGGAGTGAGGCCTGGATATTGGGATTTTTCAAAGCTCCTCAGGTAATTCTAATGTGAAACAAAGTTTGAGGACCATTGATATAGGCTGATTAGGCCAGGGTGGGGAGGTGTGTCATAGTGTGAAAGTGGTAGTGTAAAGCTGGCTCCACTCTGTATCTCCACTCTGTATCTTCCCTGTATTTGGGAAGAACCAGGGCTCACTGCAACAAAGAGGAGGAAAATGCAAAGGAAGGGTGGGCAGGAGAATGTGAGGGGCTTATGCCTGGGTGGACAGGGATAGAAGCACAACTGGATCAATTTCCTCCAGGTTACGAGGTTGGGATTAGAGGTCCTATGATGGTCACTGACAGCAGTCTTTACTTGGATTTTCAATGGAATGTTATTGAACAGGTCTCCTCGTGTTCACAAAGAGAACAGTCCTCAGTACATTCCTTTATCTGTGAGCTTTGGATTTGTTTTCTAAAGCTTGATAGAGTGAAACTAGAGTGGTCTGGCATCAAGAGCCCCCAAGGACTCATTATTAATAACTGTTGGACATCTCTTGTGATGTGTATGAAGTAATCTATTATATTTTTTTCTCTCCAGATATTATAATAAATACAAATGGCAGGATATAACAGCTGTGGCTGAATTTTAACTACTTTGAAGATATGAATGTGAAGTAGAAGTCTATGAAGCAGTATGTTTGCCTGAAATTATATGAAATTCAAAATTCAAAATTCTCCATTTATTTGTGATATATTGCCATGTTGAAATTCCATTGAGGTTCTTGTCACTTAGTTTTAATCAGTTAAGAAAAGAATATTCTGTGTGTGCTTTTCATACACACACACACACACACACACACACATATTCCGTATTTTTACACAAATAACATGTCTTCCATGTTTGCCAGCTGTGCCTTCCCCCTGAGAGTTATTTTCATAAGCGCGCTATGCTAATTTTTTTACAGCAACATGTAAAAAAATATCGGCATAGCTGCTCTTATGAAAATACTTAGTGGGGGAGGGTGCCATTAGCAAGCAAACATAGAAGGCATGCATTATTTGCATAAAAATACAATACATACATACAAATATATAGATAGTCATAAAAATATATATAGATATTTGTATACATCTATATATATTTGTATCACAAAATAAGAACTAAATAGCTGATATTAGAAGGCTATAGTACACTAAAATAGATGATTTTAGCCTCTAAAGAGCCAACACCCATGTACTGTGTAACATTCTTCGATCTTTTTTCCCAAAGTTTACTCTTTGTATGGATTAAGAGTAGTAAAGTGACTTTGATGGTTACGAGGGAGGGGAGGAGTGGGGATGGAAAAACACTAAATAGACAATAGATAAGTGGTAACTTTGGTAAAGGATAAGACAGTACACAATACCGGGGAAGCAGTACAGCTTGTTCAGGGCAAGTTCATGGAAGCTCTATGGACAAATCTAAACTCCCTGAGGGACCAAATTGCTGGGCTGAGGGCTGTGGGGACCATGGTCTCAGGGAATATCTAGCTCAATTGGCATAACATAGTTTATAAAGAAAATGTTCTACATTCTACTTTGGTGAATAGTGTCTGGGGTCTTAAAAGCCTGTGAGTGGCCATCTAAGATACTCCACTGGTCTCACCCCTCTGGGAGCAAGGGAAAATGAAGAAAACTAAAGACACAAGGGAAAGATTAATCCAAAGGACTAATGGACTACAGCTGTCATGGCATCCACCAAACTGAGTCCAGTACAGCTAGATGGTGCCCAGCTACCACCAGTGACTGCTCTGACAGGGATCACAATAGAGGGTCCCGGACAGAACTGGAGAAAAATGTAGGCCCAAATTCTAACTCACAAAAAAAGACCAGACTTACTGGCTTGACAGAGACTGGAGAAACCCCGAGAATATGGCTCCCAGACACCCTTTTAACTCAGTAATGAAGTCACTCCTGAGGTTCATCCTTTAGCCTAAGGTTAAACAGGCCCATAAAACAAAACGATACTAAGGAGCACACCACCCCAGGGGCAAGGACTAGAAGTCAAGAGAGGACAGGAAAGCTGGTAATGGGGAACACAAGGACGAGAAGGGAGAGTGTTGACATGTCATGGGGTTGTTAACCAATGTCATAAAACAATATGTGTACTAACTGTTTAATAAGAAGCTAGTTTGTTCTGTAAACCTTCATCTAAAGTACAATAAAAAAAAAAAGTGTTGTGCTAAAAATGATAATGCTTATATTACAAGCTATTTTTAACAGAACTTAATTGAAACCACATGAGTGAGAGACCTAATTCCAGGTCTGCCTGAAAGAAACTCTATACTAAAGACTTGCTGAAGCAGAGAATGTATAATACCAGCAATTCTACACTAAGTATTTCATACTTCATCCCCAAGCGATGTTCTTTTGCTAATACTCTCTGTAGGAATTTTTGTTTTTTTGTAATATAACTTATTGTGGCATCCTATCCTGACAATGCCCTTCCTAAAAAGCAGCAATCCTGTTGTCAGTGAATGTCGTACAGTTGTATAACTCTTGGTGAGATTTTACTCTGATGATTTTACTAATGTAATTATACAGAAAAGTAAGCAAGAGTTAAATTTTCAAAGCTGCTGCAGCATGAAAGGAAATTATAAAATTTATGCATTAATTTCAGGGTAAGTAACATACAGTATTCATTTTTAAAATATGAGTTCTATGAAGATATTTCTGTAAATGATTTAACAAGACATTAAGCCACTAACAAAGTTGTCATTTATGTTTCATATTTTCATCTGGAGATGAAGTATGGGAAAGTTGTTAGGAAATGTACAAGAGATTGTTAATGATGAGGCTAGAATGAAATTTAGACCTGAATTCTAAATCAGTACTCAACTAAGTCAGCAACTCTTGTGGCAGTTTTACAAGTAGAAATGTGATAAGCAGTGGAGAAATAAGAATGAAATAGAAGGATATTTCCTGTTTTCAAGGAGTTTATAATTCAAGGGGAAGGGAAGAGAATGAGAATGAATTATTTGATAGTTTATAAGTGGTAGGTTCTTGTGAGAAAGAACGATACATGATTCTTAGAGTGGGTCTGTTGGATGGGAGGAAATAAACATTTGATAGTTTCATATCGCTGATAAGGAAAATGTAGCTAGCTTAGAGAGGTAAATACTTGGCAAGGTGATATAACTTACAAAGTGACCAGGCTAGGATTTGAAGGCCATATTTGAGTCCAATATTTTTGTTTTACAGACTAGAGCATAGGGAAGGGGGAAGAGAATGGGGTGAGAGTGAGGAAGGAGATAGAATTGGCTTTCAGGCTTAGGGGTAAGGAACAAAACCTGTTATTAAGAAGGAAAGCAGAAGCCTACTGGCTGCCAGGCAGAAGAAGTCCAAAGAAGATTTCTGTTGGCAAACTGTAGGAGAAAGTTGTAATCTTAGTCTGATATCTGTGGGCAGGCCTCAGGCATCTTTCAGTGAACCTCCCTGGAAGAGCATGAAAAAAGGCATTCATCTCTTTTTTCTCATTAAACTATGGAGAGGGTCACCATAGTTTTCATCACATTTTCAAGGTAATCTGTGATCTAAAAAAGATTAACCATGGGACTGGACCCCTTTACTTCAGCATTTAACTAGTGAAATTTCATTTTTAGGCACTTGAAATTATATTTTCAAATTTTGCCTCAAAAAAAAAAAAAATAGCGTCAGGTCATAAGTACCCAGAAAAATTCAGTTAACAATGCATGAAAGGCCAGATATTGGTGTCGTTTCCATTAAAAAAAAAATTTTTTTTTAATTTAAAAAAGGAGTTTGTTTTTTCCTTCCAAGGTATAATTCATCACGGTTTGCTTAGTTATGACTCGCTTCTTTATCTCATATTGTGTATATATATATATATATATATATATCTGTGTTTATATAAAGGGTGTAATGCCTTCCCAGATGAAAGTCATCCTGAGCCTCTCCTGCTCTACTGTTGGTTTCTGATATGCATTTAAAAATGTTTTATCTTCTGTCTTAATTCCTCCCTTAACTCCATATGTCCTTCCAGGTAGCCAGTCATTCTTCATCCATTTACATTTTTCATCCATTTTCATTTGCATTACATTTACATTTACATGTTTCTTAAAAAGAGTGCTTTCTACAATAGCCGTAGAAACAACCCAAATATCCATTAATAGATGAATGGATAAAGAAAATGTGGTACACACATACAATGGAATATTATGCAGCCATAGAGAGAAATAAAGTTTTGATACATGCTACTACATGGATGAATCTTGAAAACATTGTGCTGAGTGAGATGTCAGACACAAAAGGACAAACATTGTACGATCTCACTTACATGAAATGTCTAGGACAGACACGTGCATAGAGACTAAAGTTTATTAGTGGCTACCAGGGGCTGAGGGGAGAGGTCAGAGCACAGGAAGGGGTGTTATTGCTAAAGGGGTTCTGAACTACTATTCGGGGCAATAAAAAACTTTCAGAAACAGTGGTGCTGGTAGTGCTAACATGATTAATATAATTAATGTCACTGAATTGTACACTTAAAAATGGTTAAAATGAACAAACTTTTTGTTATATATGTTTTACCACAATAAATTTTTAAAAAAGAGTGCTTTTGGCTTTCTCATTGACCCTCAGCCTTCCCTCCACCCTGCACACACAGTCTGGCTTCAGCTCCAGTTCTCCACTGACACTGGTCCCTTCAAGTCTACCAGCAACTGCCTTGAGGCTAACCTAAGGGGTATTTTTCAATTCTCATTTTACCAATCTCTCTTAGCTAATGATGCTGCTAACACTATCTTCCTGAATGCCTGCAGTGAGGAGTAACCTCTCTGAAACATTACTCTTTCAGACTTTCTGCTCATCTCCAGTTCTTTCTCTTCCATCTCTTCTGAAGGCTCTTTTCCCCCTGCCCAGTCTTTAAATTTTGGTGTTTCTTTAGGTTCTGTTCTAGGGCCTCTTCTCATGCTATACACTCTCCCAGAGGGATCTCATTCACTCTTTAGATAACGATCTCTGTGCAGTTGACCCAAAATCTTTGTTTCTAACTGCCATGGATATTGGTAGTGGATATTTGTGGTGGCTTCCCGTGCATCTATCCTTTTCCTCTAACTCCATCCTCATTGGACCTTGAATTTCCAGGTCCTGTGGTTTATGTGGAATTGAATTGATCCTACTCTTTGTTAACCATTAAAGATGGGTTAAATTAACATAGGCCTCCCAACTTTGGCACAGTGATTGGGTCAGAGATGGGTCCAAGGCTTAAATAATCCAATTGGATTAAATCTCAGATTTTTCTGAGAATGCTGGAACACAGACTTTTTCGCTTGGATTTTTACCTGAAACAATATATCTTGGAAGCTGCTGGCAACCATCTTGTGTCCACAAAGAGAGGCCCTGCCTTGGAATTGAGTCCACACAGAAAAATTAGAGCTGAATGGAAAAAGTAGATCCTTGATACCATTGTTCAGTCTCTGGATCTTGCTGTGTCTGAACTGTCTATCTACTTTGGGTCCGGTTATGGGAACAAATCAATTTCATTCTTTGCTTATGCCAGTTTAGTTTGGGTTTTCTATCATGTGCAATATAGAACATTATGACTGATGGACTCAATCAATACCTTTCTAGAATTCAAAGTTTGTGCAGCTAAATGCTTACTTGTCATCACCATAGGGGTTCTTACTGGCATCTCAAACTCAACATAATCCTAACAACTTATCTTCCTCCTAAAAGTAGCTCTTTCTCCCATTGTCTGTTTCAGTGCTAGACATCTTCATCCACCCAATTACCTAAGTCAGAATTTTGGCCATCATCC